AAAAATACATATGCACTTTAACAACTGATAGCTCAATTTTGAAAATGAAATGTATTTTAGTAAACACTGCCTTTGTAATAATTCAAAGTATGTGTATACATTTTGGGGAGACACTCTAATTTTTTATTGTTTTGTTTTTTAGTTGTTTCAAATTAGGATGTAAGCCAGCTCCCCATTACTTCTTCTTTGCCAAGAAACTCCCTCAATATATAGCAAAGGCGAGGAAACACTCCATGAGAGAAAAATAAAACAATGAGGTAAACAAATTAAAAAACAAATTTTCACTCACTAACACTGCATTTTAATCATGGCTATATATATATACATATTTGTGTTCAGCTGAGAATTTGCTCTCCTGGTGAGAACAATTTAACAGAATCCGAGCTCTCTTAGCAAATTCCTTAATATCTGTAGTTTTGGCCTGAGGTGATATTCTTTCCACTTGCTTCTATAATACACGCTTTTGCTCTCAGTGAGGACCAATGAAACCTTCCCTGACCATTCAAACTAAAGTAGCCGCCCCGTTCTATTTTGCATCACCATGGTTTTGCTTTTGCTATTTTATGTATCATTACTAGATATTTTCTTGTTGATTTTTTTTAATATACATTTTATTGATTTTGTACAGAGAGGAAGGGAGAGAGATAGAGAGTTAGAAACATCGATGAGAGAGAGTCATCGATCAGCTGCCTCTTGCACACCCCCTACTGGGGATATGCCCGCAACCAAGGTACATGCCCTTGACCGGAATCGAACCCGGGACCTTTCAGTCCCCAAGCCGACGCTCTATCCATTGAGCCAAACCGGTTTCGGCTTCTTGTTGATTTTTAAAAATAATTATCTGTCTCCCTGAACTATGAAATCATGTTCCTGTCTGTCTTATTCAGAGTCTATTTCCTGTAGCCAGAAGAATGGCCCATGGTAAGTGTACAATAAAGTATGTTAAAAGAGTATTTTCTGGTTCTGGCCTTGGAGCCACTATTCCTTCATAAAAAAATAAAAAAAATTAAAAAAATTAAAAAAAAGTGTTCTAAAAGAAAAATAAATATATGAACATATTAGTATCACAACATTGCTACATGTTCACTTATATCTACTGTGGACAAAAAAAAGGGGGGGGAGGTTTCTACTGAAAGTAACCTCAAAGAATGATCTGAGCATAAATTTTTAACTGGGCAGGGTGTGGGGTAGCCATGCACCAGGCACATAACATTTTAGGGAAAAGTGTGAAGCAAGCCCTGCCCATTGTTCTGGTGCATCTGAGTTACAACGCCTTTGAAATGCCAGAAGTAACCCTCCTGAAATGCAAACCACCCTCAGGAGAGCACCTCATTTTGTTAAATATTCTGTAATCCAATCCCTCATCCCTGCCTTGCTTTAGCTCACTTTCATGTAACTATTTTTTTTAAATTCCCTCCTAATTCCAAGTACATGAAACAAAGGAAAAATTGCAAATTGTGGTCCTGGAAGCATTTGAAATCTTGCTTCCCAATAATTGACATCAGTTTTAGCTCAAATAAACTCTTAACAAAAATTCCCTACAAGTTTAGACATTTCTTAAGTTGACACATTGACACTGCACTCTTTATGACTTTATTGTTGGCATTACCTATGAACCTTTCCTGATATTACCTTCTTATCTGATTTCTTTTTTCCCTATGCTGGTTTTCATTCTTATTTTTTCACATTTCCTGTTCTGGAATCTGTTTTATCCAGGCACTTAAAGTTACCATAAAGAAAAAGAAAAAGAAAAAAAACTACATGGAAAAAATACCTTCTTTCCTTGAGTTTATTATATTTTTATAAAAAATGCTGCACATCATGTTGGGATATTTTTCTTTATACCCCACATCCTGATGCCACATTCTAAGCATTCTTTTGTCACACTCCTATATATGAAAACACCTTTCCATTTCCTTGGCTTCCCACTCTGTTCAAGCCCAGCTTTTTGAAAGGTGCCTTAACTGGGCTTCACATGAGAACAGCTGAGCCCAATAACATTATAAAACCAGGAGATAGCATACATTATTAAAACACTAATTTTAGGAGTGGTGTGTTATTCAGAAAATAGATAGTGAAAAAGAAATTGGTACTGTATAGAAGGTGTTTTTGTAACAAAACCCTAAAATGTTTTAGCAAAAAAAAAAAGGGAGAGGGATTCTATGGAAATTACAAGGTGATCAGATCATAAATTCTCAATTGGGCAGGTCATGGGTGGGCAGTCATGCTCCAGGCATATAACTTCTTTAGTAAAGATTCATCTTTGTCTTAAGGAAGCCCTGTGTCTGTGCATCCAGGTGAACACACCTTTGACACATCCTAACCAATCTCAAGAGAATATATAATCTTAATTGTCCTGTAATACCTTTTCCTACCTCTATGTTATCTTCCTAGTTCTCTCCTTAATTTCAAATGCATAAAAGAAGCTGCAAAACTGTTATTCTCTAGAGTAGGGGTGTCGAACTCAATCAGAGAAGGGGCCAAAATCTAAAATCCAGCCTAAATCGTGGGCCGAATGGTTTACTGAACAGTCATAAACTGTCATTGTGATGGAAACGCAGCGGAGTGCAATGATGACAGCGCGGTGCGGGCCACATTGCAAGGCCTGGCGGGACGGATTTGGCCCGCGGGCCTTGTGTTTGACACATGTGCTCTAGAGCATTTGAGATCCTGCTGTTCATCATGGGTCATCAGTTTGCATCCAGTAAGCTCATAAAATACAGGTTTGGACATTTTTATGTTGACACAGGTAAGAATGACTTTGAGACTGGATGTGAGGAGAAACTTGACAGGCCAGGAGGAAACTTTGCAAACTCTTTTGTTTTTATACTAATTTTTAAAATATGTTTTTATTGATTAAGAGAGAGAGAGAGAGAGAGAGAGAGAGAGAGAGAGAGAGAGAGAGAGAAATACATTGATGTGAGAGAGAAACATCGATTGGCTGTCTTCCGTACTCACACTTACCAGTAATTAAACCTGCAATCTTGGTATATGCCATAACATGAAATCTAACTGGAAACCTTCTGGTGCCTAATAAAATGAGTCACACGAACCATGGGAGAACTTTTCAAACTCTTAATGGTCATTGAGAAGGTGATTATTGGAGGCCGGATGAAAAAGGGTGTGAGTTATGTATGGCAGAGCAATTAGCAACACCAGCCCCTGAGTAAGTATGGGAAATGGAAAGAGTACTAAACAAACGTGACTTTGCTAAGGAGATTTTCAGGCAGAATGTTGAAAATGATAACTGACCTCTCCTAGTGCCCATAAACAAAAAGAGAAGAAGAAAGAGTTTGATAAAGAAGGAACTGTTAAGTTTTGTATTAGAATTTGGTGGAAATAAGGTCCAAGACAGTTTTTTTCTAGCTAGCAAAAGGTTCTCAAAATAAGAAATGGCCCCAGAATAAAGATCATATGCATGGCACTTCCAGCAAAACATGGTGTCAGGGTAAAGATGAAGTCGAGGGTGTGGCCATAAGATCATTTGTTGACATATCAGAAAGATTATAATATGTTTGGGCCTCATAAGACCTCATAGGCAGGCAATAGGTTTTTAAAAATACTAAGGCATGTCTGTCAGACCTTATCTGCTAGATCTGTGGTCGGCAAACTGCCGCTCATGAGCCACATGCAGCTCTTTGGCCCCTTGAGTGTAGCTCTTCCACAAATACCACAGCCTGAGTGAGTCTATTTTGAAGAAGTGGCATTAGAAGAAGTTAAAAAATTTGGCTCTCAAAAGAAATTTTAATCATTGCACTGTTGATATTTGGCTCTGTTGGCTAATGAGTTGCCGACCACTGTGCTAGATGAAAAGTTTCTAAGAATCTCAAAGCTCCCTGATCTCCTTCCAAAGGAGACTATGTCCTATCCTGAAGCTATTTATGGATGTGGCTTTTGTCTCATAGAGGGAGCACCAATAATATTCACAGAAAACCTATACCATTTTTTAAAGAGCATTGTGTTGGGAAAAAAAGAAACAAATAAGAAAATAAAACAAAACCCAAACCAACCATACAAATAAACAAACAAAAACAACCACTCACTTATTTGGACTTAAATGTTGCTAAAATACAGAAATACAATTTATTCTCATGTATAAACCTCATAGTTCAGCAACCAAATTCAATTTACACATTCATTCTAATTATTTTTATTTTTTTTATCCTCACCTGAGGATTTTTTCCATTGATTTTTAGAGAGAGTGGAAGGGAGAGGGAAAGAGAGAGAAACACCGATGTGAGAGAGACACATTGATTGGTTGTCTCCAGCATGCCTCAGACCAGAGCCGGGAGCCTGCAACCGAGGTACGTGCCCTTAACCGGAATTGAACCCAGGACCCTTCAGTCCACAGGCCAATGCTCTATCCACTGAGCAAAACCAGCTAGAGCCATTCTAATTATGTTTAGATTCTTTGGAATTTTCTATGCTGTCAGCATAAGAAATGTCCAAGCCTGTAGAGTCTTTTTATATTTATTTGAGTCAAACAAAGGATACACCTGAAAGGAAGACCTCAGCAGACCGAGACAAATGTTTCTGAGAATAGCAGTTTCTTTTATGCATTTGACATTAAGGAGGTAAAGTAAGGATGTTCACACAGAGGTGGAAGGAAGTAATAGAATATAATACTTAAGATTATGTGCTCTCGTGGGTTGATTATGCTTATTTCAAAGGTGTGTTCTTATAGATGCACAAAAGCAATGGGCAGGGTTTGCTTAAGACAAAGATAAATCTTTTACTAAAACAGTATATGTCTGGGGCATGACTGCCTACCATGACTTGCCTAGTCAGGGATTTCTGATCAAATCATCCTGTGAGGTTACTTCCCATGAAACCTCTTTTTTTGTCTACAATATGTAATCATTCTAAATTTCATTTCTGCCATTAGTAGGTATATCTTTCTTCTTCAGTTATTACTTATATGGTAGACCTCTACTTTTTTCGTGCTCAATTAAAATGCTGATCATTTCTTTGTTGGTATACTTTTTTTTTTTTTTTTTTTTTAATGGCTAGACAGCAAAAAAAAAGATTCAACTGCGGTTCACTGAAGTAACTGGGTACTTCATTGCCATATCTAATTGAATCCAGATCATATTAGTGACAAAAACTAAGAATGACTCAGACTAGTTATTTAATCCATCAAAAACTTCCTGTGTGCATCATAGCTGTATATGTCTCTTTTCTGGCATGAGTTTCCTGATTCTCATGTTGTCTTTTGTTCCTGTAAGGTTTATGTTAGTCACAGATTTGTCTGCCAATTCCTAGAAGAATTTATCTATTTTCTCATTCTATTCCCGAAATGCAATGCTAGCTACTTCCTCTAGTGTTAATATTAACAAGAAGTTCAATTTTCCCAATCATTTCCACAGTGATATAATCTATGATAGCCACTAAAAGTCTTTCCTTATTTAGGCCAAGAGATTTAATTAAGGTCATTCCCCTAAATGATTACATTTTAGTAGGTTAAAAACTGTGTATGTAAATTACTCTTAGAGACAAATGGAGGAAATATTTGGTCATCTATGTTATCAGTGAAATTCAGATAACATCATTTTCACAGTAAACCATAAACTGGCTCTGTTATGGTTTAAAAGTTACACCTGTGAAAATTGCAAAACGTATATATATGGTTCTCCAGTTGGAATAGCAGCTCAGTAATTCTAAGGTTACATTGCTACTGAGCTAGGATAATCAAGGCCCATACTTGCTCTGTGCCTTGTGTAGAGTTAGTGTGTAGCAAGTAATTTGTGTTTGATTTGATGAAAGATGTCCTCCAGGAACCAGCCTGGGGTGCTTCATAAATTCAAGGAGACCCTCTTTTCTACTTTGTCTTCAGAAGAACTTCTGAATTCCCTGGATTCTTTCCACGCAAGAGAAGATGATGTGTTTCTGGTGTCCTACCCAAAATCTGGTAAAGTCTATTTTAATATATTTTGTAAATGTGGGAATATAATAATAATTATAAATATAATAATGGTTTTTATGAAACATTTGCTTTTTTTAGAATTTTCCATAAAAATTAAAATGTCCTAAATGCATAGTCTAATGAAAAAGTTTGACAATAGAGAGGCAAAAAAAAAAGAAAAGTGCTTCGAAATAGAGCATCACTACACTCTTGTTTCTATTTTATTCATGAAGATGAAGACATATAAATGTTGACCTATATAATAAGCATGATATCTATGATATTATAAAATTACCTTTCTACTTTGTACCAGGCATGGTGACAATGTTTGCTCCATTTATAGTTAATAATTAATTTATAAATATTATTTTTCTGGGTTAATAATAACCATAAATACTTTTATTATTAAAGTTATGCCATGTCATTTAAATTAATACTATATTACTTTTTATTCTTAAAAGTGACTAGGATATTTAATATCTAACTGCCTGTTGCTATGTCCAGAATAGTGGCTGGGTGTGGATGAGCACATACCTGCTCTCTTGGATTCAGCAACTAAGAGCCAACCTCCCTTTGAGCTGTGTGTGTGTACTAACTCCTTCACTGGATTGTAAGTCAGACCCAAGAAACCTTTCCTTTGGATGATGCAGAGCTCACACAGGGATGTTTTTGAGAATAACTATAAACCATATATTTATATATCTTTTATTGGAAAATATTGCTGCAAATTGAAATTAAATGATTGCCTTCAGAGTACTTCAGTATTCTCCCTATACAAAGGGTTGCTCTGTGAATAAATACATCTTGTCTTAAAATGATATATTAGTTTAGAAAGTAATTAGTGATACTTGTAAGATTCTTGGAACAGGTGGTTAATTTATACCATACATAAACAACCACGTGTGGGACTTCCACTGTACATACTGGTGCCCATAAATTGACATCTTCCCACCGGCTGCTAGGCGGTCTCTTTAAACACCACAAAACTGTGTGGTCTCTCTTCTTCATTAGAAGGAATCAATTTATTTTGTTAAAATAATACGATTTTCACTACTATATAAGTCACATTTATATGAATGCTATATGTTTAAATTTAAAATATAAATCCCTACCAGTGTGGCTCAGTGGTTGAGTGTCAACCTATGAACCAGGAGGTCACGGTTTGATTCCCAGTTAAGGCACCTGTCTAGGTTGCAGGCTTAATCTCTCTCTCTTTTCCATCCTTTCTGAAAGCAATAAAATATAATGAAAAAAATAAATTTAAAATATATAATGGAAATGAAAGTTCTATTTCTCCTATGAATATTTATTTATCTGTAAAATTGTAATGAGATAAATGGAAACTAAGGCAGATATAAATTCTTCAGGGACATTGCTTTCAAATTATATAGCAAAAATCTTCCCCACCCAAATTTCTACTTCCCTGCTTCCACATACAGTGTCTACCCAAGCATGCCAAACTCGCAGCCAGCCGTGAATTTGACATTTTTGGTCTACACCATTAGAACACATCTACATTTACTTTATGTTAACACTACAGGCCTGATGCACAAAATTTGTGGCCTGGCCCACTGGTCATTCTGGAAGGTCATTCTACTGCCCGGTCTAATTAGCATATTAGCTCTTTATTATATAGGATAAAGTGGTATTCCTTCCAGATTTTGAGGTAGCAGGCTTGCATCTCTTTGATTTTTAAAAAATATATTTTATTGATTTTTTTACAGAGAGGAAGAGAGAGGGATAGAGAGTTAGAAACATCAATCAGAGAGAAACATCAATTAGTTGCCTCCTCTACACCCCCTATTGGGGATGTGCCCGCAACCACGGTACATGCCCTTGACCGGAATCAAACCTGTGACCTTTCAGTCCGCAGGCCGACGCTCTCTATCTACTGAACCAAACCGGTTTAGGCTCTATGATTTTTTAATATATCATTTGTTCATTGTTCTGATGCTTTGTTTGCACAATTATTTTGTATTTACACACAAACAAAAGTAAGACCAACTGTCTTCAAGGAGGAAATGGGAAGATAGACGTAAATACAAGCAATGGCGAGTATACTCTAGGGTCGTTACTTTGGAGAGACTTGAAGAGTGAGGAATTACTATTCCAGGGTTGTGGGGACTCAAGAGACAGTTTATAAAAGAACAAGATGCATGTGCTTATAGGACTAATAGGAATTATGTGTAGAAAGATTTTTGTATTTGTGAATAAGAGAAGGTGTTAGAGGTGAGTGGTAGCATTAAAAGAATATTTCAAGCTGAGGAAACAGCATACACAGTTCTCATATAGCTTCATGTTTCAAAATGTGATTTTTTTCCTATATAATGAATTAACATCTTAAGTATTTCAACAGGTTTCAATGGGTGTCAAGAGGTAAAACTAACTATCATAATAAAACTAGTGCATTCATTGCCTTTATAACCTACTGCTAATTTTCTAAATTCATTTCACCAAGAGGGCCATTTAATTAAAAGTGAGTTTTATTTTATTTTTATGTGAAGGCACACACTGGATTGCAAAAGTCATTGAGAATATTCCCAACGCTGAAATTACTCTAACATCTCCAATTGAATTGGGAGACATTTCTAAATTTGAAGAGCTAAAAATGTGTTGTAAGAGAAGAGTCATTCCCACTCATTTGAGCTATAACATGCTACCAGTGGATATTAAACAAAAGCAATGCAAGGTAAGTTCAATGGTGAAGGGCGGGAGCTTGGGAATACCACAAAACTGAGCTTGGGTTCCTGCTCTGCCACTTTCCAGCTCTGTGACCTTGGAAAACTGCTGATGCTCTCTAAGCCTTAGTTTCTTCATTTGATACAGGAATAATGGTATCAGTCTCACACAGTAATGTACAAATTAAATAAGACAATGCATGTTTAGGTCTGACCACAGTATCTAGTTTATATAAATTATTTTAATGATCTGTCGGTAATGAACTATAGTTACACTAGACAATGTCTTATTCCATTCTAAATTTGGTTTTAATCTTTTTACTTTAAATATTGATGTCTAGGAAAAGAAAAATTGCCTTAATTTTGTTTTAATTACTTTAGTATTTGTGTAAGGGATTATATGGGAAGGGAATAAAAATATTGTATGTAAAAATAGTTACCTCAAGCTATTTTTAAAATAAAGTTACCACATTGTTATTATTTTAAAAGTTAACTTTAATTTAAAAGAATATTTTATACTTTCATATATTTCATATTCTAATTTATGTTTTCATGGAGAAATGCTTATGGACTAAGATTAAATATAAGACATGTTTTAAACACCTGTATACTGAATAATCTCAATTTAATTAAAATATACATATACACATAAAAAAGATCTAGATGTAAATATAACAACATGTCAAGTGGTTTTCTATGATATGACATTACAGTTGGATTTTATTTTCTTTACAAATGTCTACATAAGGAGCATTTTTTAAATTCTGTTTTGATCAGAAAAATAAATTTGAAAAGCAAAGGCAAGATATATGTGTTTATTGTAACAAGATCCCAGTACTGAAGCCTCTTTAGACAATGTCAGCCATATTCCAAAAATAGCAAAAATTACCCAGCAGTCAATGAGCACAAATCAAAAAAGCTCTTCCTACGATTATAGCTCTATGACCACAATGCGCCTATGCACACCATCTCTTCTTTTGCTCAAAGAAAAGTAAATACAGTCATCCGGAGGCAAATGGGATAGTTTTGTCTGTATCCCCAGCAAATCTATCAGAACAGGTGACGGTGTACCTAACTTGATTACACTTTCACTCAACCGAGCATTTTCATTTTAGACCATGTCTGAGAGAGAGAGGGAGAGAGAGAGGGAGAGATGGGGGATAATGAGCCAGGTGAGCTCCATAACCCTCACTCAAAGCAATGCAATAACACTGATAACAAATGCCTACTAGAGATGGAGCTGTGTTTTGTAAACACATCACAAAAATAAGAGAAGTGGGCGTTTTACTTTTCATAAGCGAAGAAACTGAAGCTCAGAAAGGTTAGGGTGCTTCTTTACACAACCACACTAAAGGTACAGCCTCTAGGTACAGCCCTTTTCTTTTTTACCTCTTCTGGGGACTGAGACTCTGCTTGCCCCTGGTCTCCCCAGAGAATGAGCTGCCTCTGTTACTGATGGCCTAGCCCAGTGGTCGGCAAACTCATTAGTCAACAGAAACAAATACCAACAGTATAACGATTGAAATTTCTTTTGAGAGCCAAATTTTTTAAACTTAAACTTCTTCTGACGCCACTTCTTCAAAATAGACTCGCCCAGGCCGTGGTATTTTGTGGAAGAGCCACCACTCAAGGGGCCAAAGAGCCGCATGTGGCTTTGGAGCTGCAGTTTGCCGACCACGGGCCTAGCCCTAAGGGACCAGCTGGACAACCTTCACCTGGTTGATGAGCTGGCAGCATCCCCTGCTGGTCCAGATGCACATTAAGGGTTGAGAAACTGCCCGAAGTCTATGTTTAATAATTAGCGGAGGCTGTTAAAAAAAATCGTGCCTGTCATGGTTAAGTTTCGCTCCTACTTTCTTTTTTTTCTTTTTAAACATATTTTTATTTAAACATTTTTTTAAATAGTTTACATTTAATATTATTTTGTATTAGTTTAAGATGCACAGCATAGTAGTTAGACAATCATAGACTTTACAAAGTATTCACCTTATATTTCCAGTACCGGCTCTTACTTTCTTTTAGAAAATGTTTAGTGGTGCGGCTATTTTCACCCAAAAAAAAAAATTGATTTTCTTTTAACAGATTATCTACATCGTTAGGAATCCAAAAGACACAGCTGTTTCTCTATTCCATTACTACAGAGACAACCCTAATCTCCCCGGCATTGAAACCTGGGCTGCCTTTTTAGAGCTGTTCCTGAAAGGAAATGGTAAATATGACAATGGTTTTTCACTCGTAATATACAGTGAACTTTTCTGCTCAGAATGAAAGCATTTTCTAAAAGTTTAAATGGATTCCAACGTCTACTTTCAGAAGTACTCTTTGAATAGATAATTTGTTTGCTTCCAAGCAATTCTTTCTCATTGTGCTTCTTCACAGTCTTTCCTATAATCCATGGATAGTACATATTAACAATTTATTAGTCTTAGTCCTGGCCAAGAATCTCTCTTTTTTAAAAATATATATGATCCGTCATTTCACTAATGGGGTATAGCTGAGACCTAGACAGGTTGCCCAAACTGTCCTTACTGGTATACAGTATATACCTGCTGGATAATAAAGCAACACAAACAATGCAACCCAAAAAGAACCCTCAGATTCTCCAAATAAAACAAATGTGAAAGAATTAGCCATCCTGGCCTTTAGTTTTATAAAAAGTAACAGGAAGTAATTTGTCCTGAAAACACCACAATGATACGTCATTTGATTGAGCTGCGTAGCATATGTTGGTCCTGCTAACTTTTGGGCCTGCATGATCTCTGCATTTATTCATTTTTTCTTGTGAATAAATTCAGTGGTGTCTGGAGCTCTTAAAAAACAAAACAAACAAACCAAAAACAAAAACAAAACCCCTTCTAAATTCCCAAGGTATATTCAGCAAAAATAATATACCAAGACAATACAGAATTTAAAAGAGACATGATTCTGAAATGGTGTGTGTCCGGAAGTTTTTCTCTCTTATTGGGCTTAGCATAGATCTTGTTAATTTCACTCTTTTACAAGGTAATTGTTATGCTCTTGTTTGTTAATTTGAAAGAGGCCACAGCAAGTGTGACCTTAACAATAAGGACATTGCAATAAATATAGATATGAAATATACTAAATATACTGAAATATACTAAATGAAATATACTATTCTCATACGATTTCAACTCTATTCCCTCATTTACTGGCACGCATCTCTTAGAATCACAAAGTTTCAGGGATGACAGGTACACTAAAGGTCATCTGTTTAAAATACCCACCCAACGTTTGAATCACCTTTATAATATCTCCAAGAATTGTAGAGCCTAAGCTTGACCCACTTAACCTGGACAATAGGGTCCCACTCCACGCTCCTGTTCCAAAGGAACACTGTCATCTTGGTACTTCCAAAATGTTGGGGGGGAAATTCTTACCATGTGATGCAGACACTGAGCTAAGTGCTATGCAAACATGATCTCTTTTCATCCTCACTAGACCACGTGAGGTAAATGTTATTACATCTTACAGGTGAGGAAAATGCAGACCTCGGGAGGCCAAATAACGTGCCCAGAGATGCGTAACTAATAAGGAGTAGGGCCGAGATTTAAATTCAGATGTCAGCTCCAAAATCTTTACTCTTACCACTGTGCCATAACTCATCCAACCCAATCATTAATTCCTCTTCCACATGTTAGTCTTCTAAATATTTGAAGATACTTAACATGCCTCACTCTACCTTTTTTCCATTTTTGGAATAAGCAGAGTTTAAATACATAAATTAGTTTTTTAAAACAGATCTTGAGCCTGCTTTTTCTCAAGAAGAAAAAAAGTTGTGTTTGTCTCCCATTATTACACACTGTGGCTTACTCTTCCTCCCTCACCACTGCACGAGCTCTGATTTGGCATTCTCTGTAATTTTTCAGTGCCTCGGGGTATGGTCTAACTAATTCTGTTAGAGAGGTTATTTTTCTGTAAATGTAGACACAGAGCACTGGCCAGTGTGTTAAGTGGTTAGAGTGTCAGCCCATGCACCGAAGGGTCTCAGGTTTGATTCTGGGTCAATGGTACATACCTAAATTGCAGGTTCGATCCTGGTCCCAGTGGGGTACATGCAGAAGGCAAACAGTCAATGTGTCTCTTTCACATCAATGTTTCTCTTGTGTGTCTCTCACCTGCCCTTCCACTCTCTCTAAAAGTCAATGGAAAAATATCCTCAGGTGAAAATTAACAAACAAAAAGATAAAGATAGTGACACATTTATCTAATCACCTAATTTGTCTTTCACACAGTTTAAAAATCCACTTTAGGTTTTCAAATTAAACAATAACTATAAATTATATCATGGAGATATCATGGCAGATTAATAGTTCAATGAAACATGTATGAGCATTTGCCCTTTATTCCCTGTAGTCACCTCTCCAGTTTTATATTTGAATTCTTTGTTTCCTAGGCCACTTCAGCCCGGTGAGTTTTGTTTTCTGCCTGATTATCTATCATCAGAATGCTTTCTAGAAACTAAACACTAAAGTGATCTTTATAACTGATTGTAAGAGTGGGGCAAAGAAGGTTTGCAGAAATTTATGGGAGTTTTGAAACAGCTGAAGAATAGGAGAATGTGTTAATGCAGGACAAATCGGTTTGCCAGGCAGCCTTGGGGCCCTTGAGACTGGAAAATAAATCTGCAGTGGTGTAAATACAGAATGGTATAAATTTCTTCAGCAGAACTCAGAAGTAGTAGGTGAGATGGAAAGGAGGTGAAGTGTTTTGATCCAATACTGACTGTTTATTGGACCATTAAAATAACCTATAAGGGGGCAAAGAAATGCAGGTATTGATGAGAAAATTGGTGAGGGGATATACAAAGGGAAGAAAGTAAAGAGAGAAAGGGAGAAAAACAGTAAGAGGAAAGTATTACAGCAACTATCTAATAAAGTTGCTACAGTTGGTAGTGTGGAAACCCCTTTCACGTCCCATGTGGTTCAGGGTTCCAGTTCAGGGTTCGGGATCTGGAGAAGGCTGCACACAAATGAAAAGAGACTAGAAAAGTATTAATTTGGTGATACTGGGGACCAGGCAGGAGCCCACTTCTAGTGAGTGGACTCCAACCTGCTCTCGCCTTGCTATCCCTTTTATGGGAAACACCCAAAGCCTTTAGGCAGGAATTTCCAATAACATAAATTTACATAAAACAAACAGAGGTGGAGGCTGCTTCAGCTAACAATGTTACAACTAAACAGTGAGCGAACTAGCTCTGACCTTCCAGAGCAATGAAGGTTGTTGACAAAGATCAGTTTCCGATAAGTAAGACCTGAGATGCCATAGAAGACTATATTCAAAAACCAGAGTCTTCCGGGGGTGTAATGGAGAGATCAGGTCAATTTCTGGCTGAAACCAGGATGTAGAGGTGCTAGAATCAAAGGAGTTGTTAAAGGATCCTGGATTGTCTAGGAGGGAGGAATTCTGGAAGTTCCCAGAAAACAGAGACTGCCGACTCGCTCTCCAGGTCCTAAAATACATGAATTGTTTGAGGAAGAGCAACTTGTATTCAAGGCCATTGAAGAGGAACCAGTAATTTGTGCATAGCAGAAGGAAGGCCATTCAGGCATATGTTAATTAAGGCCAGGAGGTGATGGAATGATTTTGCAATTAAGTGAAAGATAAGGAGAAAAGTATTTCCCCTAAAAGCAAGATTTCAAATCTCAATTTTGAAAGCTATATTTTCTTTAAAGCTATAGGTCTACTCACGACCTGATCAATGAGGGTTCTGATTTAAAAATCAACACAAACGGTAATTTCCTTCACTCGTGAGAAAGGCCCAGGCAGACAATTTCTTTAGATTCTTTTGGCTAGTTTGAGTTCTTTTGGAATAAGGGAGAGTAGAAATGAATTAGTCAATAATAGAACAGCTAGCTCTCAAATTATGATCAGGCTAGGACCCAAAGGTTTCTTCTTAAATCTATTTTGGATATGTTGGAATACATTTTCTACTGAATAACCATAACGGGTAGATCAATTACCCCATCACCACCCTGCCCATCCCACCCAATGTGATTTTTAGTCTCTATCCCTGCCTAGCATTGAGCCATAGAAGCATGGGCTCCCCCAGACCCTATTGAGGGCTCCACATTATCAACGCTAGGCAGAGATATTACCCACAAGGGCTGGGCTGTGGCTGCTGGTGGGAATCAGAGAGGTCAGTTAAGACTGTGAGGTAGTTTGGCAAACTAGGGACTAGTTAACTTCCCAAATTTGTGTGAGAGACATATCAGTTTCCCTCCTAATGAACTCTAAGGTGATCATTATAACTGGGTGATCATTATAAGAGTACATGTGTTTGTGCTTGAGAAAATGTTGATAATTCTTAGAAGATAAACCCTTATGAGTGACACAGTAATTTGGGTAATTCTAAGACAAAGTATTAGGTAAGGCACTGGAATAGCAGTGAGATTGCTGATAACCAAAAACTGTATCTGGACAGCTCTCCTAAGACCAGTTCTGATTAAACAATTCTAGGGTCCTGAGTCTGATAGCATGGTAGTCCCTTGTTTCAAAAATCTGTTCTAGTTATTTTCTTGCCCTTTGCTTCCTTGGGAGCTAAAGTAATGAAAAATTGCTCTTTGTTTGGAGTTAATTTTACTTTTAATTATTCTAAGCTTTAATGTTCAAACTGTACTAGCATATAGCTCAGTGTCTCGCTTAATAAATGTTTTTTATTAAAATAAATCAATAGTCAGCAGATCTTCAAGGAAATCACTAGTAGAGTAGTTTTTTTTTATGACTGGGGCACTAGCTAGTATTAAATCTTTGCATGAACAAGAATGCTGGAAAGATGTGTATTAAATTATTGTTTTATGCTTTAGATTGTCAAGCTAGTCATTTTGTGTATGTGCGCGTGCTGATAAGTTGCTCACTGTTTGCTTTTAATCATCACAACTAAAGAGGTTACTCTGCATGATAGTATTTTACTTTTAAGCCCTGGAGATTTTTGAGTCTGTCAAATTAACAAAACATTAAAGAGACAATATAAACTACTTACAAATCCCTAAGTCTGTAATTCTCAACCTTGAACTAAGATACCTGATAGAATTATGAGTGGTGGTGGTGGTGGTGGGGCTGGGGGGGGGGTAGGGGGGGTTATAACCTTTTCTGCTGAGAACTTACAATTATGAAAAGCATGTCACATTACAGAAAGAAAGTGACAAATTCTCGCTGTTTCTCTGTCTCCCAAGATTTAGAGTAGTTATCAGAACACATTTATTGGGAAAATGTGTATCTGTATTTCTGTTGTCACTTTTCCTGATGATAAAGAAAGTTATTAAAAATGAGGAGAAACCCCACACCACTTTATTAAAAGGTGTCCCTACCCTGCTTCATTTCACAATATTGTATTTAGTTGAAACAATAGTAAAACTGAGCTCTTCTAAGGAAAACATTTTCATTCTCGTGTCTAAGATGTATGAGCCTTGCTTTGACAACTTTGCAGAAGTGGAAAGGCTCCAGGGACCCAAAACCATAATTTTTAATATTAACACAGCAATTCACTTTTCTTCCAGTTGTGTATGGATCCTGGTTTGATCACATTTTAAGCTGGGAAGACCACAAAAATGATAAAAACGTTCTCTTTATCTTCTATGAAGAAATGAAAAAAGTAAGTCTTTTCTAACATTTCAACAATCAAAATATAAGTCAAATTCAGCTAATACAGGATCTCAATCTATGAATCTGTTTTAAGGTTTGAGAGAATGAATTTAGTGTTTTGACAAATAACACTTATTTATTTGCTTATTGCTCAGGATCTTTTTAAAAGCATAAAGAAAATAACGACTTTCCTCGGTATCAATGTGAGTGAAAGCGAAATTAATCACATTGCTTCGAAATCATCATTCAAGGAAATGAAAAATAATGCAGCCAAAGAAAACTGTGATCCAAATAAGACCATCTGTGCCCTCACATCGAATAAGAACCTGGTATTTAGGAAAGGTAAGTCAGAACGGGCTATGGTGCTTTGCCTGGGGCTTATGTTTGGAAGAATTTGGAAAAGGATGCATGAAGGAAGGTAAAGTGAGCAGAGGGGAGAGAAGCAGAAAGAGATTGGGAGGGACCATGGTAAAGAGGATGATGAGAAATGAAGTTCTGATGGCTACTGGAATCCAGTGCTACTGCTGACATCTTTCATCACTGCCCTTTCATCACTGATTGGTTAGCTAATTCTCAGTATTCTCACATCTTATCATGCAAACTTGAGAACTTTTACTCTAATGATAATAGAGTTAATCTCTGACCTGGCCATGCATGTGATCCTAGCAGGTATTTTCAGGTGAAATCATATCAACAAAATTGTGGCTGATAACATTCATTGGAATGCATTTAAGTTCTACCTAAAAGTGGTTTCTTTATCTTATACCTAACAAAGCACAGAAGGTTGCTAGTAGAAAATCCTCACTAATACTAGTCACCCTGAGCACCAAGTGGTAAATTTGAACTATGTGAGGATCTAAACAAAGGATGTAAGGATGTTTGCTGGATTTGGGCAGTGTGTGTGTGTGTGTGTGTGTGTGTGTGTGTGTGTGTGTGCGCGCGCGCGCGCGCGCGTGCCTGCAGAGGATCCATTCTCCGAAAATAAGAGTTTCAAAGAAACTACTGAAGTCGTTGATTCTGAATCAGTGGCAAAGAGAGATAATCCTCATTTTACAAAGGAGAATTTGTGCCTGCAGCTGTCTTTACCTTAAACTCAGAAATAGATCTGATATTCTAGGAAATGACTATGGGGCCAGGATAAAGTGACAAGCAAGGTTAGTCCTCATAAATGTCAGAAGTTTGAGGGCTCTGACATACTAAAATATAGAGGGAGAATTATAGGTATGGAAAGGTGTATGGGCAGGGTGTATGTAGTAATGTTGCTTATAACAGTGAAAACCTAGAATGTACTTAAAAGCTCACTAATCAGAAACTGTTAAACATATTAAGTCACATCCATTTAGGGATTTCCTATGGAGTCATGAAAACTATAGAGTCAAAATAACTAGCATTTGCTAAGTGCTTTGCTATGTGCCAGGTACACATACCTGTCTGGATTTTGAAATCAAACTTTTGAAAGTGGTATTCATATTATTCACACTTTATTGAGACACCAAACACCTGAATAATTTGTCCGAAGACACACAACTAGAGTCAAGACTTGAATCCTAACAAAAGTTACTTTCCCTAACTTTCATTGTTGGCATATAAATACTAACATGGGAAGATTATAAAGTATAATAAGTAGAGGAAACTGGAGTTATAATTGTGTGACTTAAAATGTGGTTTATATGCATTTCTATATTTGCAAAGAACATCTGGAAGGATGTATGCCAACCAATTTGTTAGTGATGTTAGCTGAATACATTTCCTTGATTTGTTATCTTATTTTGCTTATATGTAATTCCTCTAACCTACATATATAGCTACGATTTTATTTTTTAAAAGAATTTAAAAAAAAAGTCAGAGTGAAAGAATAAATCAGAAACCAAGCAAACAAAAGTCAGGTAGAAAGAGAAGGCAGCAGTGGGGTGCTTTAGAAGCAGTGTCATGATGCCATTTCCTGACTCCGAGATCTTCCCCCTGATACTTTCTTTTTTTTCCAAACAGAATAGTTCCACTTTACTTCTTTTTAAACTTAGTCTTTTGGATGAGGAATCAACACCAGACATTTCTTAAGTTGTAATATAAATAAATTTCTTTGCTGTACATGACATTGTCTGACATTCAATCAAACCACAGGTTTTACTGAGCATCTACCTTATAGTCAGCACTGGATTCAGGACTTCAGGAATACACATGAACAATACATCATAGACTATAACTCAAAAGAGTTTATAAACCAGTTGGAAAAATATATAATAGAGAATGACTTATGACTGTCTGCAATGGGGGGCAGTGCCCCAGTGCACCTAGACCCAGGGATGAAGTGTAGGGCCAGAAGTAACAAAAGACCAGGGTGGGCAAGATCTAGGGGTGGGGTTTGGCTAGTGTGCCTAATGGATGTGAGAAGGGTAGTTCTGATGCTGTGCCAAGGCTGAGAGGGTGACTCGAAAGAACAGAAGAGGCCGATAGACTGCGTGAAGTACAGTTGTCCCTTGAATAACATGGGACACTTATACACATATTTTTTTTCAATCAATACTGTAAATGTATTTTCTCCTCCTTATGATTTTCTTAATAACATTTTCTTTTCTCAACCTTACTTTATTGAAATAATATAGTATATAATGTATATAATATACAAAATGTGTGTTAATCAATTGTTTATATTATGAGTAAGGCTTCATCAGTAGACTCTTGGTCGTTAAGTTTTGGAGAACCAAAAGATATACATGGATTTTTGACTGGGGAGAGGGTGGATGCTTCTAATCCTTGCAGTGTTCAAGAATCAACTGTATTTATCTTATTTCAAGTCTCTGTTATCAGTATTGTAAGATAAATTTCCTCAAAATGAGACCAATTACCCACCCCTGTGATGTGTTATCAGCACAGCTATTGCTCTGGAGGTGTACAGAAGGGAAATAAATGAAGCATCATTCCATCCACTGTATGCCTTAGGCTTTGATTAGGTTTAGGTGAGATAATTTTTGCCTGCTCTCATAAAACTTAAGACATCTGTGTATTTTTTAAATGTGTTTTTTTAAAATTGATTTCAGAGAAGAAAGGAGAGGGAGAGAGAGATAGAAACATCAGTGATAATAGATAATCATTGATTGGCTGCTCTGGCATGCCCTCCCCACTGGGGATCAAGCCCTGACCAGGAATCGAACTGTGATCTCCTAGTTCATAGGTCAATGCTCAACCACTGAACTACACTGGCTGGGCATGTTTGTGTATTTTTAATCTTCATTTTTTTAAAAAGAAAAAGAAATAACTTTTTAAACTCTACAAATTGACATGCAATATTACTAAAGAAATTATAAACAACGGATGAGCAAATGAAAAGAATTTCCCTATCGTCTTATCACCAAGAGGCGAAACTGTCCACATTTCATTATAAATCTGACATTTTTTCTTTTGTGATTACTATACATTTAAATTGGTTCTTGTCTGATACATTTCCAATTTTTCCAGGAGCTGTGGGTGATTGGATAAACTACTTTACTTCAAAGCAGAGGAGAGTATTTGATGAACTATTCACAGAGAAAATGAAACACAGCGAACTAGCAAGACACTTTGAAGATTACTCTTAATATAAATGGAAAATGAAACCAATTTCCATTTTATGCGATACGATGCTCGTGGAATACATAAATATTTTTTACCAATGTGGAAAGCAGATATTTCCTTCAATGAGAAACAAACACTTTATGAAAGTGTCAAAAGTGCCATGTGTGAGAGACTGTTATTATCATATTTTATAGTAGCAGAGAATTATTAAGAAAAGGAAGCATATACTTTTTGAATAGCTAAATTATATGTCTGCTTTCAGTATACTTATATGGCAAGGAGATTACTGTTATTCAGAGAGCGTATTACTGTGGGTGTCCTATAAACTACATTAATGTACAACAAAAGAGGTGAGGGATTGTCTAAAACAACCAGTGTATGAAAAGAATCTATTTTCTGGCTGTTTGGACCAGCATGACCTCTAGACACACATTTTTAATTCAAAGCTCCCTGGTGCCCATGTGGAAATGTTTTCTAGTGTCAGAGCAATGACAAACATCATCTACTAAAGTGAAAACACCTAATAGGTCAATTATATCAGATGATCACAATCTGGTATTTTGGTGAAATGAAGAATGAAAAGATACCCTTTTACACTAAATTAACACTGGTCTCTCTTTCCAGTATGTACCTTATCTTGTAAAGTCATTCAAATTACAAAATTTCTTATTTTCCAGTTTTGAAAAATAGAATTTTCCTGAAGTTATTATTGTTTTTACAATATTTTGAATATGTATTCTTTCTCCTAGTAGCATTTCTAGCATTAATCAAAACTCTCCTGTCATGACTATTATTCTGTAGCTTTAGTCTAGAGGACATTGTAATAGCATTTCAGTGAATTTATTTTAGGATTATTGCCTTAATTGTAATATATTGGTTATGAACATCTGTGCCATATTATTTACATCTGTGCCATAGTACCTAATTCAAGGCTAATGGGAAATCAAAATGTATATTGTATATGACTTTGAGTTATGAAACCAAAACAATGAGTTAAGTTAATTCAGCCAAACACCAATGTATTGTGAATCTTATTTTTAATAACACATCTGTTGGAGGTTTTTGTACCAAGTTTATCACAATTCAGCCAGTATTAGATCTTCATGAATCTTCTATATATACATATTTGTTACAAATAAAATGTATTTCTGTTAACTTAGTGCAATTTATGTGTTTTTCTTTTTCTCTTTTTTATAAAATTAACATATACAGAGATTTACTAAGACACCTACTTGCCCCAAATACATGAGGTTAGTGAGTGAGAACGGCAACCAGAAGTTGGAGCTAAAATCACACTGAGGTTGATGTGCAGAGAATGAGAAAGCAGTCAGAGTCAGGTGAAGGGGATCTGATGAGACTGGCAAGTGAAGACAATGACTGTTGTGCCAAAGGCACCAAATCCCATGAGGCTCTATCACCTTCTCACAAGATTAAAATGATCATTGAGCTTAAAAGAATGGAAACAAGACTTTATTTGATGGCATTTTGTATTTTAGATCTGTAAGGTACCTTTGGGGTCATTGTAATCCAATGTTGACAGGGAATTGCTTACGGTCAACAATCCAAAGGTATAACTAAGAGACTTAGTTTCCAGACTATTATCAATCAAAAAAATATTGTATCTATTTGTACAGCAGCATTGCTCATACAATGCAAGTGTCCATCAATAAATTAATGGATAAACAAAATATAGTATATACAAACAATGGAATATTATTCAGCCTTAAAAAGGAAGGAAATTCTGACACATGCTACAACGTGGATAAACCTTGAGAACATTATGCTTAGTGAAGCCAATTACTAAAGGAAAAATAATATATGGTTCCACTTATAAGAGGTATCTAGAGTAGTCAAACCCATAGAAACAAAGTAGAATGCAGCTGGGGAAAGGGAAATTTAGGGAGTTGGTTAATAAGTATAGCATTTCAGTTTTGCAAGATGAAGTTCTAAAGACTGGTTGCACAACAATGTGAATATACTTGATGCTACTGAATGTACAACTAAAAATAAAAGGTGGTAATAAATGCATATATATATATATATATATATATATATGTGTGTGTGTGTGTGTGTGTGTGTGTGTGTGTGTATATATGTGTGTGTGTGTGTGTGTGTGTGTGTGTGTGTGTGTGTATATATATATATATATATATATATATATATATATATATATATATATATATTTCAGCCTCTTCTATGCCAGGCATTAGTGTAGATGATAGGGACACATTAATTTGAGAGAATCCCTTTTTTCAAGAAGCTTCCATCCTAGTGAGGGTAAATATATAATTTTAATAACAATTTTTAATAAAGAAAACATCTGAGATATGGAATGCATCATATGTGCTATAAAGAAGATAATAAGCCCAGCTGGGTATGGCTCAGTGGTTGAGCATTGACCCAAGAACCAAGATATCACCTGTTCAATTTCAGGTTAGGACACATGTCCAGGTTGAGGGCTCAATCTCCAGTGCGGGGTGTGCAGGAGGCAGCCGATTGATGATTCTCTCTCATCATTGATGTTTCTATCTCTTTCTCCTTTTCCCTTCCTCTCTAAAATAAATTTTATAAAATAAATTATATATATATATATATATATATATATATATATATATATATATATATATATATTTTTTTTTTTTTTTTTTTTAAGAAGATAGGATAAGGTAATGTCATAGACAGTGACTACAAGGCTGCCTTAGCTGGGCCATTGGGCTGAGGACTCTGAGGAGGTGACATAAGAGATTCAATGCCATTGATGAATCAGGCTCCTGGACTTGGAGACATAAAAGGAATTTGGCTTCCATGCCAGTTGGGGAGGTTTTCCATGAGTGAGACATTCTGACACTTTCATAAGATCACTCTGACCACTAGAAGGAGAATGGGTCTAATGTAGGAGAGGGGCATGAGAACTATACAAATCAACTAAACGCAAATAAAGGGGCTTGCTACGTGCTGCCTGACAGAACTTGGCTGACCTCTGAGATGCAAGAAGACCACGAAGAGTCCTCAGACAAAGAAAATTCCTGCAACGATTCATTATCATTCCATAAAGGGAAAACAGACCACAAGATATACCTTGAAAAGGTTAAAGTTAATCCCAATGGTGTTTGTTTCCCCATTCTATTTTCCCTTAACATTACTTTTCTATAGCAACTACAAACAGATATAAGCTTGACGTCTAGAGGTTGGAGTCTCTTCCTTCCCTCGTGAGGAGAGTCCGTTACTCTGTCTATGGAGTGGCTTTTCCTGCTTGTTCTCATTGCTTGATAAAACATGCTTTCCACTTTAACCTTTTGTTTGGCTCCTATCTTGAATTCTGTCCTGCGTGAAACCAAGAGCCCTAGGCTTGAATGATTTTTCCCTAGGACTTGCCCCTCTGGCATCAGACCTAGGGATCATGGGAGAAGGCAGGGCTAGATGGCTGTTACATTGTTGTAGGTGAGAGAGGAAGGGCACACGAACAGTGGTTGTAGCAGTGGAAATTCTGAGACACGGCCAATTTCAGGATATTTTATGAATCTTGAGCCAGCTAACCTATCAGTACAGGAGTGAGAGACAGAAAGGAACAAATGAAGCCTAGATTTCTGACTAATCAATTGAAAATCCGAAGGTACCATTTATTTAGAAGTGAAGCTTGATAGAATGATTTTAATGGTGGTAGTGGTAGTGTGACTATGGATCAAGAATTACACTATGGCCATGCTGTTTGAAATGTCTACCTAGACACTGGGTAATTGGTTGGATAGAAGAATCCCTCTGATGACTGCTGGGATCCCTTAGGAGGGTGGGGGTGAGTGGTGAATGGGAGATTGAGGAAGTTTGGATTTATAGAGCACTATGGAAATGAATATCCCTAAGATGACGGGAATTGCTGAGAATGTGTTGCAGATTAATTGCCTGGATATCCACACCCTGCTGGGCTTTCCCCTTTTCAAAGGTAAGTTCTGTCTCTTCACCTGAACTCTGACCTACCACATTGCTTTTGCACTTCCTTAAAGGTGCAAAACCACTGGCATGCATTTCCTCACTCCCACTATTTCCCTGATGAGTCTTCTGTTTCTTTTTTTTTTTTAATTCCTTTATTGATTAAGGTATCACATATTTGTCCTCAACCCCCCATTCCAATCCCGCCCCCCCTATTGTCCTTGGCCACTGGTTAGACTCATATGTATGCACATAATTCCTTTGGTTGATCTCACCCTTTTATCTCCACCCTCCCTTTGAGGTCCAACAGTCTGACCCATACATAGCTCCTTATCTCTGGGTCTGTCCTTGTTCATCAGTCTATGTTGTTCACCAGTTCCCCTAAATGAGTGAGATCACGTCCTACTGGAAATATACTTATAAGAATGAAAAATGAGACAAGCAATAATCATTATGCTGAAAGGCATATGAATCAGTCTGTAGTGAGCTTCTTTCTGGCCACCAGTTCTTTTGAGACCCAATTTCCATGTCAAACTGTTCCTTATGTGTACATGTCAGCAATGATATTTCAGTTCTGGATGGTGGGAAAATGGTGGTAATGCAGGTCCAACCCTCTCTGGTTTGGTCCTGGGCAATCTGCAGTGGAGTCTTCTGTTTCTTATTTTTTACTCTTCTTCCTCAGTTTCTCTGCCCTAACTGGCCTCTCTATAATCAATAAGTAACTGCTAAATCCTAACGATTCTTTTAAAGTTTGTGCCTTAAAGGCAATTCACCCTATAAGCAGTTTCACACCAGCTCAGTGAAAACCTGCTCTGATGCTCCCTTCTCTTGCCCCCATTATTTTATCCACACCCCACTATTGACTCTTCACTTGTATTTTGCTTCCCACACTTAACTATTAGAATCTTGTATTTCTATATAAGTGTCTGTCTCCTATTCCAGTGTGTAAGGTATCCTTCACCACGCCTGGCCCAGGACAGCACTCATAACACTAGATGCTTTACAAATCCTGGGTGTGAATTGAGTTCATAGATCAGTTTAATTGCATGTCTCCCAGAAGACTCAGTTCTAATACTAATCACCCACCACCATGATCCTATTCTCATATTCTATTGTTTCATGTCTGCATTAATCAATTATTGTTTAACCAAATCACTTACTCCCTCTATTATTACTCAACTGGTTCACATTATGCAAGTCTTTCCTTCCCAATTTTACTGTAGACTTAAATGAAGAGCTTGTAGAAAGCTTCTTCAGTGACTGAGGCAGTGTATTGCCTTCAGAAATTGTTCCACGAGGGTGTGTTAAGTGGAATAATGAATTAGTGAATCGATGATTTAAAGAATGAATGAACAGTCCTGTCTGGTGTGGCTCAGTTAGTTGAAGGTCATCTCATGTACAGAGAGGTTGTGTGTGTGATTCCTGGTCAGGGAACATGCCCAAGTTTCAGCCTTGATCCTCAGTAGGGGGACCACAGGAAGCAGCTGATGATGTTTCTCTCTCTCTCTTCCTTCTTCTCTCTCTAACATCAATAAAAACTTTTTCTGAACACCTTCTTGTATACCAGCTCAGTTTCCTGGTCCTGTAGGCTTGAATGCGTAGAGTCATGTTTTATTGTTTGTCCTCCGCCCCACTTTTCAAATCCAACCAGAGAAAAATACTATTGATTCTTACATTTCAATAACTTTTAATCCATAATGAAAGATGTTATCAATCTTCTTTCAGACATAAAGATACACAAAAATCAATTATAACTAATAAGAATTGTCTGTAGCTACTACCTGTAGGGTAAATAATGTTGGTGTTCATCTTCTTTCAGACATAAAGATAAGCAAAGATGAATTATAAATGATAAGAATAGCTTGTAGCTATCACCTGTAGGGTAAATAATGTGGTTCTTCATATAATATGTATGTGCTTTTAACCTTTCTCTTTTAAAAATGTCTCCTTGTATTATATAAGACTATAAAATAGAAATACTTTTTTTGTCTTCAGCAACATCTATGTAAGAAACATTCAAATTGCAAAGAATTTTTGTGAGACTATTTGAGTCAAAGTGTTTACAACTGCCGGGGGGGGGGGGGAGGGGAATCTCAACAGATTGAGATAATGCTCCTGAGAATGGCAGTTTTGCACCTTATTTTATACATTACAATCAAAAGAGGAGATGTATGTGGGTTGCATGAAATCCATTGCCGATAGATTAGGGAGGCTGGAGAAAGCC